TGTCGCATATGTCTACGAGTGAAATTTCGCGGATTAGTCTATCGGTTGAAAAACAATTCGGTTAAATCCTGGCCCGCATTTTAGGGGGGCGGACTCTTGTAGATTCTTGGTATGAAGGCGATAGTCTCTATTCCTCTCACACCATTTCAGGATTCCGGAATCCTCTCAGACGGTGAGGTCTTGTTTGATCTAGACAACAGTCACAATGTTACATTACTATGGCTTACGACGGTTGAGTCGATGAAATCGCACGCTGGAATAAATCGTGACAAAGATTGAGTATATGCGTGGTGTAGGAAGACGCTAACTGTTGTTTAACAAATTCACCGGCGTCATGACACTTGTGCTTTACTGGCAGGCGTATGCAATCCATCTAACCGAACAACAACTACTTTTAAGAGTAGTATTGGCAGTTTTCCAAAGTTTATTTCTTACCCCGCGCATATACTTAACCCTTTTCGAAATCGTCTTCTGGAACTGCCGGAACTGATTTGGTGCTTTTTTTACGGCACCAGCACTGTGACAAGGATTATGCCCCTGTGCTTGGCAAATTCATCATGGGAGCCGAGCCCTTCTCCATCAATCCCAGCCGTCGAAAGAAACCAAGTATAGAGGAATTTGTCTATGCCCCCCCCCTGCCCGCAGCTACAGACAAGCCGGCCGGCCAAGGGGAGGGGGTTGTAGACATAGGAAAGTTAAAACAAACATCCGATGGACGCAGTGGCCCGTGTTCGACGCCGTCGAAACGTCCGGCATATTCGTAAATCATAATAAAGACCAGCCAGAGGGCATACGAGGCTTTTGTCGGGATGTCTGCCCATGTACAGAGGTGGCTGTCTCTGTGGTGTCTCCGCCCGATGCTCTACTCTCAGTTATGCGAATTTTGCTCTACGGTAGCCCTTTCAAGGAAAGGTCAACCATTCGTCCACTTCACAGTCTGACGGAGTCCTAAGCGTGATCACTGGAACAAGAAATTTATTGGCCTGACGTTTCGGATGCTCACTCAAATCCATCATGAGAGATAGTCGCAGATAAGGGTAATAATGGCACAAGTAGTGTAGTATTTATAGCACGTGGCTGCCGTGAGACCATATGCGCACTGTAATTAACAGCTCTCGCAATCATCGATGGGGGAGTCATGATTGATGGGATGGTGGCTTGTCAGTCCGCGTCCGAGTTGTTAATTGCCATGATTTCGTCATCCATGCTGGATGCTGGTGCGACGATTGCTCGACAAATTGACTCACTGTCACTGGGATAATTGCTCGTCCGTGCCCTCCCCACGTGACTGATTCCCCTGCCCAGGGTAAACCTCAGCAGGGAATATAGTACCGGGAGGTCATTGTGTTTGTTGATGGATTGCGGGCCTGAGAACCATGACTGGACCAGCTCGCGGCTCACGCGGTTGCCACTCCTTGCGAGGATTTCGGCCTATTGAAACTTGAAAATATGGCCGGGTCCCGTTGAATAAGCCGCCAACTGAGAGCTAGCGTCTCTCGCCTCACTGCTGCTGCGTACTCGGCAATTCGCGTGCGGAGTAATCTCCCAGTTTCTCCGACGTAGCTGCTTTGTCCGCAACTGTACCAGATCCGGTAAACGACTCCAGACAGCATAACCTTTATCTGCGACTGTCTCTGATGATGGATTAGAGTGATAATTCGAAACGCCAGGCCAATAAATTTCTTCGTCTTCTGAACTGCTGCCTGGAAATCCCCTGTTTGCTTCTATCAGGAAAGCTAAACATGGCTTTTGTCGACATGAAAACCGAGCTGATTGACTTGGAGACATAGGTAAACACTTCGGGCGTCTGCCGCCGATCAGCTGTCATGGAGATAATTATCCACAATGGAATATACCATCGCCATAATACCGACTGAATCAATTGATGAATACAGCCCTAAGTGTCGGCATGTGCCTTGCACAAGTCAGACCAAAGACAGAAACTTTGGAGCACGTATGCACGAACGCAAAGTTGGTGTGCGTTTGATGGGTAGACTCCTCAAACTCTCACTTTCCCACTCGCAGAGGATTCTGACAGAAATGGTGACCGAGTAAGCTGCGAGGGGTTTATGCTCGCTACTCTTTCGAGTTCCCCCGGCGTACAGGGCTGTGCGGTACAGGTTAGGAGTGGAATAAAATGTCTTTTAGATGTCGCATGCTTAGCTGTGCTGTCTCCTCTGAGGGCGGATTGCTGTATGAATTCGAAGCACTGTTCCGCTGTTCAATTAGTTTCCTGCACCTCTTCGCCGCATCTCTTGTTGCTGCGGGCTGCGACGTTAACGTCTTCCCGGTGAGGGCCGCTTCGCTGACTTCTGAACCGGCAAATTAATAGACTTACGGTCCTTAAAATCGTGCTCTTCCATCTTCCTCTTATCCTACTACTACTACTACTACTACTACTACTACTACTACTACTACTACTACTACTACTACTACTACTACTACTACTACTACTACTACTACTACTACTACTACTACCACGACCTTCTGTTTCTCGCATGGGTCGTGCTTTCTTCCTGCGCGGGAGGTGGGAACGTACTAATCGCAAACGCGCCCCCACAGCACCTGGCGTACTACTAGTACGATGACTACTACTGCTATTACAAGTACCACTACCACTACTACTACTAATAATAATAATAATAATAATAATACGACCTTCTGTTTCTTACATGAGTCGTGTTTTCCTCCTGCGTGGGATGTGGGAGCGTACTAATCCAAAACGCGTCGCCACAACACCTGGGATATAAAACGTCATGAATACCGGATGACAATCTGTGTACCGCAGTCGGCCAACGTTGCGCTCCGTAAATCTTTACAGTAATAAAAAACGACTCTTCTTCAAAATAGGACAGTGTTTGGCTTATAAATTATTGTTTGTTTTAACTTAGGAACAATTTTTACCGAAAGCCGCAACTGCGGGAAACAAGTACATGGAAAATCTCGCAGTGAAGGCAGGATATAAGAGATTGTAATGAAGGTGAGGAACATTGTCAACAATTACGAAAATCAGTACTTCCTGACTGTCAGTCTGCATTTTATACACTAAAAGGTCTGCTAAACCTAGAGGCGGTCAAGTTGTCAGGGAAAGTTGGACCATCGTATCCGACGAGGTCCATCGTATGCTGCTCAGCCGGGAAGAACAGGGACGGTGACGAGTGCTTAAGTAGGAACCGCTGTATCTGGAAAATTGGCGAACAGAGACAAACCTGAAGAACCACGAGTTCCACGAAGGATGCCATTTCAGTGATCATGCTGAGGTGAGCAGACGACTTTAAGTTAACAGATTCGACCGAAATGTTGACTACATGTTCGAGGTGTTGCTACGATAACAGAGCATCTGCTGGAGGAAGGTGGAAGAGGGTGCACTTCAGGCCCAGAACGAATGCATAGTGCAAAATGTTCACAAGAAACGGACAGGTACTGCTATACCTCGCTCTTTCCTCTATCTTACTCTGATGGCAGAACAGAGTCAAGACGACTGGGGGTGGCTGTGGTCGCAAAGCTAAACACTGGTAGGGGGCGCTCACAGATCGATCGTTTTTCTACGGAATTCACTCGTTCCATTGTGCCTTAAGAGCTCTCTCTCTCGAGCCCAACCAGCAGCCGCACAGGGGCGCATGATATATAGGCAGAATGGTATTACCGACAAAGACAAGGCAGATTGGAATGACCATTTCTGGTTTATTAGCCGTCGTCAGCCAGTAACACCCAAGAACGATCAGTGAGCGCCCCCTACCATTGTATATTCCTGATCGAAAACCGACAGTGCAACGGGCTCGTGGCCCAGTGGTTAGAGGCGTGGGCTTCTAACTAACAGGTCGCGAGTTCGAGGCTCGCGTGTTCCACACTTCAGGCTTGGGTATGGCTTGCTGACGACGGCTAATAAGCCAGAAACGGCCATTCCAGTCTCCCTTGTCTTTGTCGGTAATACCAAAGCTAAGCATCCCATCTGCGCGGGTCACACTCGACCTGGCTCCTGACTCGACAGGTGCCCTACCGCATTTAAGAGGGTTGGAGTAGTCCTACATTGGGCCTCTCGCGAGCGTCTGCGCGCGCGCGCGCACCAGGGCTGTCTGTCATTCGCCCACTCGGCTTCCCATCCGACCAATCAGATTCAAGACCGAGTCTAACGCTTTAAGAAGCTATAAAGCATTCCCTGACGGACTGTTGGGCCGCCGATATCTCGGCGCCGGCTGCTAACTCTCTCCAACCTCCTCTCCAGCTATGCAGTACAATTTAAGCCTTCTTCCCAACCGGAGCACAGCTCAGAAGATCACTGGAACAGATACCGGCTTGCCGATCGCAGTAAGAAGGATTTGAAGGTGACCAACCAGACCGATGCGTGATTCAGAGGTGCGGCCGCAGTTAGGAGAGGTTGTCGCGAATAAAGGGGGACGGTGGGTAAAACTGAAGGAGTGTCCACAGCGACGGTGCTGACAGGGGTCTTTTGTGAGACGGGTTGGTCGTTTTGATATTGCATCGAGTCTGAAGATGTCCAAAAATGCCCTACCCTAGATCCTCACCGATAATGTGGGCACGATGGCATTCCGCGGCACCTTCTCATTTTCCCTCAGCAGGGACTATTCAACTGGCTACGCTAGTGAACAAGGTATGCATGTGGATTCTTTCATCGTGGTAGTACACTTGCTCTGCACCTACCACACTCTCTCCTGAGCCCACAAAGTCAGGGAAGACCGAAGGTAGGAGAGGGCGCAGGTGGCTGGCAGGGCGAAAACCCGCACCGGCTTGGATCCCAGTGTGTGGGAGAGCCGTAGAGGCCACATTAAGCAGGAGTCATTGCAGCCTGACTTTCAGTCCACCACCAGTCACGGAGGAGGTCCAAGTTATCCCGTCAGTTGGCAAGCTTCCAAGCCACGGCTTTTAGCGCACCGTGATAGCTTCATGCGCGTCAGATTGATTATAGTGAGGAAAGTGCGCTGAGTCGTCGACCACACTCTCCTTTCCCATTCCCACACCACAGCCACTGTCCTAGCCGGTCAGTAGACTAGAGTGAGGAATGGGCGCGGTGGCTGGCACGGTAGACTGACCATGCCTGCGCGCGCCACAGCACGACCTGGCCCCCATACAGACACAAACAGCAGGATTTCACACAACGGGGGTTGAACGGCGTGTCTCTCACTTGCGTAAGAGGGACGTGGAAGGTGCTGTTTCAGCCCGTCGTCAGCCCACCAGTCCGCCACTACACACAACGCGACGAACTGAGTGAGCCAAGTGCGGGCGTCATTCAGCAACCTTCCTATCCACGACGCTTGACGTGTCGGGATAGTCTCAGACTCAAATAACCCGTGCAGCCGGGGCCGCATGGGGACCGAGTCGAGATGCACACTTCCCACTGGCGTGGAAGGTGGCAGTAGGCGATGCGGATTCCAGGGCGTTCGTCGTGGTAGGCGTCCATCAGCATGGCAGAGAACATAAAACTGAAGAGTGTAGGCGCCAGCACGGAATGTCCGTTGACACCGAGGACGCGTAGGTAGCGGTTGTGCGTCGGCGTTGCGGACTGGGCGAAGTTGTGATTTACGGGCTTCGCGTTTCACTTTGGCGGCAGCGATGCGATTGGCTTCGTAGAGCGCTGCGCCCGTCTTCACTGTCCTCCTCCAGGTCGGCCGATCGAGTGCTAGCTCTTCCCAGTTGGTCGGGTTGATTTGCAGACGCTTCAGGGAGGACTTCAGGGTATCCTTGTAACGGCGAATTTGGCCTCCTTGACGGCGAGAACCCGTCGCGACGTCTCCGTAGAAGAGTCGTTTGGGTAGTCGCTCGTTGTCCATGCGCACCAGGTGGCCGCTCCAGCGCAGCTGAATTTGCCTCAGTATGGCGTAGATGCTGAGGATTCCCGTCCGTTCCAGCACATCAGTGTCGGGGATTCGATCCTGTCAGTTCAGACGCAGGATGCGACAAAGGCAACTGAGGTGGAAGTGGTTCAGTCGGCGTGCCTGCTTTGTGTACACCGTCCAAGTCTCCGCTCCATACAGTAGCGTCGGCAGGATGACGGCCTTGTACACCTTTAGCTTTGTGCTCAGTTGAAGACCGTGACGGTTCCAAACTGTGCTTTGAAGGCGACCGAAGGCTTGACTGGCTTTCGAGATCCTGTTGGTGACTTCGTCGTCGATCTTGGTGTTGCGGGAGAGAGTATTGCCCAGTTACGGGAAGTACTTCACCACTTGCAGTTGGGTCCCATTCACGCTGATTTGCGGCGGCGCGTTGGGGGCTGTGGCTGAGTTGGGTGGTGGTTGGTGCATCACCACCGTCTTCTGCGTGTTAATGACCAGACCGAAGTTCTCGCAGGCGGCGGAGAACAGTTCCATGCTCCGTTGCATCTCCTCTTCCGAGGTGGTGTTCAGGGCGCAGTCGTCGGCGAAGAGGAGTTCGTGAACGGTGGTTGTGGATACGCGCGATTGGAAGTGCATCCGTCGTTGATTCAGGAGGTGACCGTCCGTCCTGTAGGCAATTCGGATCCCGGGGCGTTCGTCGCGGTAGGCGTCCATCAGCATGGCAGAGAACATAAGACTGAAGAGGGTAGGCGCCAGCACGCATCCCTGCTTCACTCCGTTGGTCACTGCGAATGCCTCTGAGACAGCTCCGTTGTCCGTGACTCGCGCCATCATACCGTCGTGCAGCTGACGCACCATCTGAGTGAATCGCTCCGGACAGCCGAATTTCTGCATGATCTTCCACAGTCCTTCACGATTCACCGTGTCGAAGGCTTTCGTCAGGTCCACGAAGGTAGAGTACAGGTGGGTCCGCATCTCCTTGCACTTTTCCTGAAGTTGACGGGCAGCGAAGATCATATCCGTGGTCCCACGATGACGACGGAAGCCGCATTGGCTTTCCGGCAGGAGGCCCTGTTCCAGATGGTTATTGAGGCGGTTGAGCAGGATGCGAGCGAAGATCTTCCCGGTGATGTTCAGCAAGGAGATGCCACGGTGATTGTCGCAGACTTGGCGGTTCCCTTTTCACTTGTGGAGATGCACGACGGTTGCGCCTTTGAAATCTTGCGGGACATCACCTTGACGCCACATCTTTTGGAATAGCGCAGTCAGGTGATCCATCAGTTGGGGACCTCCGTGCTGGTAGACCTCAGCAGGGATTGTGTCCGATCCGAGTGCTTTCCCGCTGGAGAGCTGCTGCACGGCCCTGATGGTTTCCTGGAGAGATGGCGGGCGGTCAAGATCCACGTTGGTCTCCACTTGCGGCAGACGGGCGATTGCGGCGTCGGAGTTGACGGAGGGGCGGTTGAGGACGCCTCAGAAATGCTCGGCCCATCGCTGTAGAATTTGTGTCTGTTAATTTTTGTGTGTGTGTGTGTGTCTGTGTTTGTGTGTGTGTCAGAACACACACACACACACACGACCCTATGCGCACGCGCCGACACGACACACATAAGGAGGTAGAGCGCTCGTATCTCACGCGCAGTAGAGGGACCACATGGAGAAAGGAGCCGAAGGGGAAATTACCCACTTGCCTGTGATGTGGGCGATGTGTTCCTTGAGCATTTGTTGACGGGGGACGTGGAGATGCGTGATGGTGTGCTCGCGTCTGTGTCGACTTACCACAGGTTTTATTGAAGGCGTGTGTGAGGGCCAATGTGATGGCTGAATGTGCGAGTGCATTGCGGACGTCTGACATGTGCTGGTGCTGCATGCGATGATTCATCCGTCTCTGTGTGCGATGGATCCGTAAACAACCGACCCGACCCGACGCATGAGGTCAAGGTGCGCGTTGACGGTGTAGGTAGGATAGGTTGACGAATCTCAAGCCAGTTTCGGTAATGCGATGAATTCCTCCGATCTTTCTTACACGTTCATAGGGCTGCATGGGTTCCGCGCCACACGTGCGCGTGACCTGCTGTAGACGGGGCTTCTGTGTCTCGTTGATCACTGCGTTCGACCTCATCGTCAGTCGGCTTTAAGAGTAATTTGTTGCATGGGACGGACATTGAGAAGGAACTCGTCCTGATACCAACACCACACATTCCTCACTACAACATTTGCGACACGCCGTCAGTTGTGGTTGATCGCCAACCTTTCAGGGTATAGCAAATCCCTGAATAACTGCGCCATCCTTATCTGCCCCCCCAGTGCTTGTTTCCTGCATTTTCGAGTACCATCTGGAAGTAAATGGAAGCAAACATAAGTCATTCTAGGCAGTATGTTATTACCGACAAAGAAAAGGGAGACTGGAATGGCCATTTCTGGCCTATTAGTCGTCAGCCAGTCATACCCAATCCCGAAGTGTGGAACACCCGAGGCTCGAACTCGCAACCTTTTAGTTGGAAGTCCGCGGTTAAGAACCAACTGTTGTTGTTTTTTCGTTGTTCGCTTGCGTCCGAAAATCTTCTTCATAGACAGATATTCTTCGCTTGTAATCATAATTCTAACAAGCTGCATGGCCACACTGTCGAATGTTCTGGAATGGGTTATTAGTAATACTTGTGGTGGAGTCCAAACTCTTCCCGTCTGTGATCCGTGCTTGCAGCATACATGTGATTTCGACAAATGCGTCACTGCACTCGCACGCATGCTTGAGTACCTTAACCAAGGATCCAATCCATGACCTGCCTCTCTCCGCTCCGCCCCCCTCCCCGAATGCACCAATCAGTGGAAGGCATTGAGATCGTGGTGATTCACATTAGCCGCCATCTGTCAGCTGCGCCAACAAATCAACCAATAGCCAAGCAGGACCAGGTGGTCCAATGAAGGGAGGGCGGCAGGCCCTATGCGGGAAGGGTGGTAACGTGAACTGAGGCAGAAACAAACCGATGTCAGATGAGTGCGCGCCCCAATCGGTCCTCGGTCGCATCAATAGTTTTTTGATCTTTCAGCGGAGGACGGTTTGGTTCCATGCGCGACAGTAGGGTCAGGATTGGATGCATTCAGATGCAGGACGTCACTTTGTCTGCCTGACTGGTACTTTGTTGGCACGCGATCAGCTCCTTCAGTTCTCTGCATATGACCGGTGAGCCCAGCTGAAATTTTGTAACATTTCAGGCAGCTTTCGTCCCTTGTTTGCGCTGCCTTTGTTCTCATGTGTACCTCTTCCGAACCACTGCTTTTCCCGTCTTTTTTATTTCCTGAACAGCGAAAGAAGCTTGCCCGACAGAACCCCCTCGCCTGGGCTCCGAGGATGGCCTGCCCAGCACGCATCCCCTCTACAGTGAGGTGAGCAGGGTCTGTGCGGAGAGGATGGATGTCTTACGCGATTTCCCCGACCCCAAAGACGATGGTGCTGGCTGCAGCCGTAGCGGGGCTTGGAACGTGGTTCTCAAGCAGGGTGAGATGAGTATCTACAGTAGGGAGGGGGAGAGCGCCGATGGAAGTTATGAGGATCGATTGTTGGTGAGACCTTGACTTTCTACCCTCTAAGAGCTTCCATTCAACTGCCCAAAGTAACCTCTCTGTTTTAAATGCGTACACACGTGCTTTTTGTGAGACTCAAGTAGTTGGCTTATCGACACAGATGAATATCTGGGGTTTGGACGGCACATCGCGACGAGCAGGGCCCGTTAGCCGATTGGTGAGCCCCCTTCCTACGATAATTAATATACCCGACCGCAACCGACAGGACAGCGGGCCCATGGGTCAATGGTAAAGCGTCGGGCCCAATGATTAAAGAGCCCGGATTCGAATCCCAGGTTTGGTATGAGTGGCTGATGACGGCCGACCAGCCAGAAACTGCCTTTCCAGTCTGCCTTGTCTTTGTCGGAAATCGCCACTATATTTATACCTGCTCGTTATCCGACTGCCTGCGGAACGGCACAGGGGAACGAGCAGACCCCGTGACCCTCTCTGCTCGCGCTCCTCCTACGATAGTATACATATATATACTGACTATAAATCTGTGCCTCCTCAACTTCCCTAGACGAATTAACTCGGTAAGTGCATCTAACTCGATCACGGGGAGGGCAGATGCACTTCTTGTGAATTTGTGATCTTATGCATAAGTTCATCAGGAGAGCTTGTCGTGTCGACTTCAACGTAGAAGTACATCGAGTGACCGCCACGGACAGGCATATGGACACAATCCTGCTACGTGGACGCCCATGTAGGCCTCCAAACAGACGTTAGGTCAGCTAACAGCCAGACTCATCCAGCTCGGCCAAATGTTACCTTTCTGATAATGCACTCCAGCATGAATTGCGTGTTAGAAAACTGAGCTCGCCTTTCCGTGCATAGGGCCAGTCCTTTACGGGACTACCGCACCACGTGATTACCGTATCAATTGTTCTTGGCACAAAGCTTGTAATCTTTTGAAGCCGTATCTGGATTTCAGTCTCTATACTACTGAGAAGATGCCAGAAAAACTTGAGGAAGTTATTGAAATCTTCGTGCCTCTCTACCTCTCACGGATTGTCGCATATCACATACGACGCCAGAGTACAGACTACCCCGTTTTGCTCTGAATCTCTAGTCTAGAGCTCTTACAGGTTGTCGTGTGGTTCCGATAAGGTCAGAAGGGATTGAAATGAGCAGCTCACGATCTACGTGGTTGTCGTCTCTCTTAAGAAGCGAACTATTATTGGTGTTAGTCAGACTTGTTTGTTTTGCTCGCAACCAGTCATGCGGTTTCCTTCGGCCTTCAGTCCAAACCCTTTGTCCTAAATTCTCAAGTCAATGTGGGCTCATGCAAGCAACACTTGGGCGTCATCTCGTTTCTTTCACAGAATATTTCACTTGGAGAGATGAGAATAAACATTTATGGGGCAGAGGGAAATCCCTTCTTTCAAACGTCCTCAAACTCCGAGAATATGGTAGGAGGCGCTGACCGATCGTTCTTACGGAACTCACTTGTTCCGTTGTGCCTTACAAGCTCTCTCTCTCTCTCCCTCTCTCGAGCCCAACCAGCAGCCGCACAGCGGCACATGATATAGGCAGAATGCTATTACCGACAAAGACAAGAGAGACTGGAATGGCCATTTCTGGCTCATTAGCCATCGTCAGGCAGTCATGCCCAACCCCGAAGTATGGAACACCCGAGGCTCGAACTCGCGACCTGTTAGTTAGAAGTCCTACAGGGCAACGGGCTCGTGGCCCCGCGGGTGAGGTCAATGGTAGAGCGTCAAACTCCATGACCAAAGATCCCGGGTTCGAATCTCAAGTGATCCACACTTGGGGTTGCGTATGACTGGCTGATGACGGCTAATAAGCCAGAAATGGCCATTCCGGTCTCCCTTGTCTTTGTCGGTATCATCTTATCAAAATATATATAAATATCAGCGAGGAGGGACGACAGAGAATGCGGGTAGATTGATACAGCACTGTTTCGGGCTTATTCTGCCTTCATTCAGCCAATCATAACCCTGACCACCAGCAGCTGAGACCAGAAACACAAACATGCGCACAGACGCACCTGGCGCAGTCGGTCCACCACTGAGGCCTACCAGATGGGTCATAAGCACTTCATCGAACCGAAGTTCATCAGTGCCTCGCCACCTGTCATTCTCTGTCGCTTCAGATCGGGTATTTATCAATCAGGAATGGGCGCACACCGATCTATTGGCTTCACAAAGCAAACAAGCTCCGTATGTGTGGCAAAGGTCACGAACAGGCAACCGACTTCGGCCTGGTAATTGGTTGCCTGTTCGTGACCTTTGCCACACATACGGAGCTTGTTTGCTTTGTGAAGCCAATAGATCGGTGTGCGCCCATTCCTGATTGATATATAAATATATATATGGCAAAAATATTATACCGTACTCCCGACATAGGTGCTGGCTAAAAGCTCTGACACGTGTTTCCTCGAAATTCTGCCGCTGCGTGACACAGCTGCGAGGGGTTCAGTTCCTTAGTGGGTCACCAGCGTTCTCTTCGCGATTCCTGGTATATGTTCTTCAGAGAATAAACAAGCTAGTCATTTTAGGAATTATTAAGTGTGGGACATGGCCTTTTAAAGTCATGTTCACCTGTGTCCTCTCTCGCATTCTGTCTTCTTGACCATGTCTTGATATCGAGCTCAGACGGGGGAGCAGGAGAGAGTGCAGTAGATGCTGTGCAAGCCTGCTACTACTGTAAACTAATTCACGCACAGGTCATCATGCCTGCCCTCAACTTGCTGTTCATCACACGGTGGTCATCGTCGCAGACGACAGTCGAACTAAGATAACAAGTTAAGGAATTATTAAATTCAGGGAATGGCGTTTAGTGTCGGGGACAATACTGTTTGAGTCAGACGTGCAATGTCAGTGAGCATTTGGGTGGAATGGGATCGGCTACTTTGGAATAACCACGTAATATCCACTCCACAAGCATGTAGAAGTACAAGTAGTATAATTTTATATTAGAGATGGTTGTGCCATTCACACGACATAGGTACAAGTTGGGATTGGCTGTCCACAACAACTCTAAGGCACTTTCACATCAGACGCCTAAAACGTGCACGCAGCTTCAGTGATTGTTTTGGTACTACAGCATACGCGTTAGGGGGTAGTAACCACACCAGCTCTCTCGAGAACGAACACTTGGCCTGTGAAAGTCCAGAAAGCTATTCTCCTCGAAGTTTCTTGGCGTTTCGACCTTTTCGGTCGGCAGGAATTCATGGATGTAGTCTACTTTAAAGAACGCTGCCGTAATTCTGTTAATCTTTCTGTGAACCACATCAAAAACATGTGGTCACTTCTTGCCATGTTATAGCAGCCGGTTGCCTAACAATGCACTTATCTTTGGTATTTATTATTTGGCCGAATTTCTTAATGGTCGCTTGGTGACTGGAAGTATCACCCGAACATAATTTTGCAAAATTAGAAGTCAAGAAGAGTCGTAGGAGCCATTGCGGCTCGCGTGAAAGTGTTCGACCAATCGTATGATAGCTGGCGGAAACATTCCGCAAATTGCTGCCGTTGGTCACTCGCGCGTCATTAATCTGGACTGTCCGGCCATTTACTGTGGCATGACCTACAGCCGACCAAGATCGCGCACGCATGAGCATTCTCCAGCCGTAAAGCGAAAAGATGTACGATCGTATGCTGTTATACACAGCCTCGGAAATAATCATCGATTTGGCTTCGACAGTGCGGAAGTACTTGGCGGAGCCGAAGCGAAATGAGGGGAGAGATAATCGAGGCCTAAAAATCCGACGCCAACTTGATTAACCGTAGGATCGACTTACCAGCGCCATACGAGGCCGTCGGACACCACGGGCTGAAAAGAAGGGCAAATGAGAAGAGAGACCAGTGGAACAATTAGTAGTGAATAAGGATGACTGATTTGAATCATAAATTTCCACTTTTGTCCATCTCAGTTGATGCGCCCAAGTATGAGTGTAAAACGGTAGTCAAGTAAACCATCCTCCCCAGGAATATTTTTGCCTTATCCTTCCATATGCACATGTATACATAAAGGAAAAAAAATCTTACTAACGCTGTATGCCTATTTTAATGCGTAAGAAGGCACTTTGTAGGAAGGTAGTTGCGGAGGGGGTACAAATATCTGTACCCCATACCGCCCTCGGTCGCCGCATGACAGTAATAAGTTACAAAATCATTAAACTACAGTTCCTTCTTACTCTTAGCGGAAGTTACTTCGTATGCCATAAAGTCAGCAAAATGTTAACTCCTGATGAGACCGCTAGGTTTTCAACAAAACCCCACAGAATATGGTTGGCGGACATCATTGCATTTCAGGCAGGAGCAAGCAGCAGCAATGCGTGCTCACGTGATGTTACTACCCACTGCACGTCACAGACAGTGCTGAGCGTGGCGAGATAACAACGCCGGGCACACTTGGACTGACATTTACCCGCGCACCGAGTTTTGTTCGCCTACGCCCGCGCCAGTGCATGCACACACATGCTGGCGAGACACGCAGCAGCAGCAGCAGCAGCAGCAGCAGCGTACCCTGGGGGATACCCAGCCATGGTTACACTTAGTGCTACACTAACGTCGAGAAGGGTTCTGGCCACTCTCTTGTGGGAGCTCTGCCAGGCCGCAGAATACGTGCTGGCGAGAAGTTGCGCTCCGAGATGCTGTCACCGCCACGGACTTCTAACTGGCCGTCCAACTGATTCGCCGCGCTGGCGCAGATGACAACTCTCTGACTTGGACAGACGACTAGCCGGGGCTGAAACAATCGCTTGTATGTGTTCACGTGAAGGTAACATCGCACCCAGTGCCAACGACGGCAGTAGCGGCAACTCGAGAGACACTGACATGCGTCCGCACGTATAGTTTCCTTGTCCACGCGCGAGAAGAATTTGTGCAGCGGTGGGGCGGAAGCAGCGTCACCGACGCCGACGAGCATTCCTTTGTTCCGGCAAGCAGAGACTCCCGTGCCGACGCCTGGTCGAGCATAGGTATTCAATAACTTAGGCAGGTGGCTGTTACGTGCTGTTAATGGTTTTCGTTTATTCTCCCACCCTCCCAAACAAACAGCAGGTCTGGGTGCGTAGCAGGAGGACTAAGTGTTCATAAGCGGTGACTGTAGGGCTATAAGCCTCCATCTGAGCGAAACTGTGCTGGCGCACTGGTAGATGGGGGCTGTTTATGGGTCAGTCATTGGGCCCAAACCAATTTCTACTTGCCTTCACCCAGCTCTTCCTGCAGAGCATGATGGAACTGGAAAGATGAGGTGTCTCAGTTCGAATGACGGCATACATTGTAGAAATTACCAAATCCCGCGACGGCTCTTCCGGTATCATCTCTCGCTGAATAGTTCGACGAAGGAGGTAAAATCCCTGAATTACAATCCTTTCAGACTCAATCTTGTCCTTAGCGGATGTCAATTCGCATGCAGGACACCCAGCGTATCGCGCCCAAATGCATTGCCAATAGAAGCGAAGAGACGAGTCCCAGGAAGCACCCCTATTTGCTTTGTCTCTGATGATGCGCTCGAGCAGGAATCCGAAACGTCAGGCTAATAAAGCTCTTGTCTCAGCGATCGTGTCTCCTTCTTCAACACTCGGCGTATTGTTTGCCTCTGATGAGACATTTATTACAAAAGCCCTAGCTTCAGCACTACCATCGGGAAAGAAATACGGTGTAAACGAGGTCCCCAGTCGAGATGGTGAGCTTCCACAGTCGGGCGTTTGTTTGCCTGCAAAACCTGACAGGAGTCGGTCGACAAACAGCGAGCAGCGTCTGCGTGCGCTTGTTTGTGCTCACGTGAAAGTAACATCGCACACAGTGCCAACGACAATATTGACGGCAACTCGGGAGCGACTGACATATGCCCGCACGCCTACTTTCGCTGTCCACGCGCATGGATACACACAAACTGGCAGGAATTTTGTGCAGCGGTGGGGCGGAAGCAGAATTGACGGCGGCAGCGGCAGCGTCACCCAGGGTGCGGTCGAAGAAATGCGCCTGGGAGGGAGGCGACGAAGTGCTGCGTGGGGACGCTGAAACGACTTCTAACACGGGCATAGTCCTCGACAACGTTTCGGGCAGACATTTACTGCCCAATGCATGACACAGCCTTCAATCAAGTCACACTCCGTGTGAGACGCGCGCGCTTTGGTATTGGACATAGGGGAGGGCGCAGTATGAAGGCACGGAGTGGGGTAAACAACCACGAGGATTGCCAGCAGAAAGACGAGTCAATTAAAGCCATTGGGGAAGGCCTTGTGGGAGAATGAGTGCTAGTTTTGCTATGCCTGACCACTCGACCGTTACAAATACCTACTTCCCATACACTGGGAAATATTCAGTTCCCTGGTACTTCAGCAATGTCTACAGTCGAGGCCGAATTAAATACACTTGGCAGAGTTGGCAGAACCAATTCAGCGTTAAACTCCCGCACAATGCGTAGTACCAACACTAACGGAGAGCACGGCACCGACAGAGCTCTGGTTGGGCTAGGCCATGGTTCAGACTTTGCTCCCATTCTATCCAGGTTGTTGAAGAAGTGTCAGCTGAGCGCAAAATAACAACCTCCTTCGAGGAATAACATTACCGACGAAGACAAGGGACACTGGAACGACCATTTCTGGCTGATTAGCTGTCGTCACCCAGTCATATCCAACCCAAAAGTGTAGAACACCTGGGACTCGATCCCACGACCTGTTGCCCAGAAGTCCAACGCCTCCAAGCACTGAGCCACGGACTCGTTGTCTTGTCGGTTTCTACAGACTCCCAACTGGCTGTTTAACTGATTTGTTGCTCTGACATAGACGACAACCCTCTGGGACCCCTCAGCTAGAGGACGACTTGTTTGAATTGAAGCAACCGCTGCAGAACACCTACCAGGTGTCAGGCCATTGTAGATAACAATGCAAGGTTGACTAAACCTTGTGGGAATTCGAACTTCCTTATTTCCCTTAGTTGCAAAATCATGCTCTGTGCGCTCTACTACCGCAAGTAAAGGCACCCGAGATCGCGAACGCGCTGCAGCTAACAGAGATACGTTGAGATTTCGTCGTGATTTGAAGATGAGCCCGTCCTCCAAACTATCTGCCTCCATTATCATGATCAATGCACCGAGCAGCGCGCATATCGGACACAACGCTTTCATGGAATGAACGCTCGAACCAGCTTCTGAAGCCATCTGGCTGAGCCTTACCAGCTGCAGACCACTTCGATGACGCTCGGCACCCAAGTGGGACCGCGACTGTAGTCCACCATTTACCGGAGAGGACCTTGGAGCCATAAATAAAGGGCTATAGGAAGACTAGCCTGACGACCTGTGGAGTTCAATTTTTTGAGTCTGTTCGTCGGAGTCTCCTCTTGTAAATCAGGTTGCATGATGCATTGTCACCGGAATTACTCCATTCGATTGGACTCTACCGCCACAGAACGAGGATTAAAAACAATCTGAGTGGACGGGAGAGTGGTTTCTTTTAGCCAATGGTGGACGTTCGGCGGACCGAGGGCGGACGAATAAAAACGGTCGCGATGGTGACCACGGGAGCAGACTGTTCTGGCTTAAGCCACCAAGGAGACTACTCCCCTCCTTGGCATCGCCCTCAACTTGCACTCACTTATGCACCTTCTCGGCTTTTAGACTCAGTCAATGTCGGGTTCAACCCTACTCACTACTGTGACTAGACCTGGGGGCCTTTCCAGTTAGTTATTCATATTGACCCAACTGGGGAAAACTCGGCGCCTCGGTGGGATTCGAATCCACGCAGTAAGGGTAAGGCTTTAGTATAGCCAACGCTCTAACCACTTGAGCTACGAGGCCCCGCCGGACGACTCGAGTTTAATCCCATTTGGGTCAAGTTACCCGCCCAACCTACTACAACGTCTGGAATCCGCCAAATCTGATACAGTAAGTTGACTGCCCAAGCAGGATTTCCTAAGTAATTCACCTAGAATCCACCAGAGGACTACCAGGCTCACGTAATTTATAGATGTTTTGACAGATTTTTAATAATTCACACTGACCCAACTATGAAAAACTCGGCGCCTCGGTGGGATTCAAACCCACGTAGTAAGGTGAAGGCTATAGTACAGCCAACGCTCTAACCACTTGAGCTACGAGGCCCCGCCGGACGAAGCAAATTTAAATATATTCTATTGAAAACATGAACAAATGTTTCCGGCCTTGTGCTCGTTAGTTAGCAAACCACATCGTCGGACGACGCGTTGGCTGTACTAAAGTCTTCCCCTTACTGCGTGGGTTCGAATCCCACCGAGGCGACGAGTTTTTCATGGTTGGGTCAGTGTGAATTATTCAAAATCTGTCAAAACATCTATGAATCAGTTGGTTATTATTTCTGTACCGGCCGATTTTGGAACGCACGTAAGAAACCCCAAGGGCGAACTAGCCTCGTTCGCTGATATGACCATTTTATCGGTGATCATATTGCTGTGGAAAAACGAATGTCATTTCTCTTTTAACCTTGGAAGAATAGCAATAGGTAGCCAACGTCTTTGTCAAATGGGATCTAAGTTAACAGTTTCAGAAGTAGGTATGATTTGTATATGTTTGCTGCTCAAACTGACTGATGACGTCACTGCAATTCTCCCTTTCAGGCTGCCCACACCGTTCACAATGTGACTGCTCGAGAAATGTGTGAGGCCTTCTGGGACGTGCGGTATCGTCTGGATTGGGAGATCACCGTAGACACCGCACCGACTGTAATAGAGGTCTGTGGGGACAACACGGTGGTGCAGCATCAGGTATCGTATCATCACCCTCTATTCTGTGGTTTGTCTCCCCCGTCGGGGTCATCAGTCCCGAGAGCCACACAGTATTTCTTCTGGTATAGCCACTATACCGTTCTCCCGACGAAGATGCTAGCTAAAAGCCCAGACACGTGTTTCGCCGCTGCTCGACACAGCTGCGAGTGGTTCCGCTCCTCAGTGGGCTCTCCAGCGTCCTTTCTGCGGTTTCTAGTAAATGAACTTCAGAGAAGAATTAAAGGAATAATTTCAGAAGTTATTCTGGGCAGGACATGGAGTAAAGTATCAGGGACACGGGCATTACGTGGTTATTCCACAGCAGTTGATTGTCTTCGACCCAAATCTTCACAGAAATTTCGGGTCCGACCCTAGAAAGTCATGTCCCAGAGACCTAAATTCATGTCCTGCAATGAATACTTTCTGAAATTATTCGCTTGATTCTTCTCTGGAGTTCATTTGCCAGAAACCGCAGAGAGAACGCTGGGGGACCCAATGAGGAGCTGAACCCCTCGCAGCCGTGTCACGCAGCGGCAGAATGTCGGCGAAACAGGTGTCTGGGCTTTTAATTAGTACCTATTTCGGGAGTACGGTATAATACGTTTACCATATAGATTGCATAGTACTCAAGGTACTACCTGTGTGTAGAATAAGCATTACGTAGTTATTACACAGTAGTTGATTGTCTTCGACTCGAATATTCAGTGAACTTGTAGTGGACAGCCATAATGGCTACGTCGCGCCTCTCGCTAGCGCCTGCACCTACGTTCTAGCGACAGCCGGCTATGGCACGCACATCTGCCTGGCTTTGATTTGTCTCGTTGCAATTCACTGTCTGCACCACGCATTCAGTCGATTCTCTGCCTGCACCACGCGAGGCTTTTCACTACCTTCGCGTGGGCTCGGAGCCAATCAACGCAACTCCTATCACTGATTGGTAAGACAGACGGGAACAGACCAGAACAACAGAGTAAACAATCCGCAACGACACTTTTGCAGCTGCGACCTTCAGCGACACAGGGCTCGTCGCTCTCGCGGACGCCGCCTCCGCGGCGCCGGACGCATGCTCGTCCGGTTGCAAACTTCCCCTTCACTATTCTGTACAGAATAAAGTGTCCTAACCAAATGGCGTCCTGCTTCTAACAACTTGGGTTATGGCCTGAAGTTGTGGCGCACTGAGCGTACACCATCACCGCTTAGCCGCTACAAACTTTCTGGTCTGACTCTGAAAAGTCATGTCCCGGAGACTTGTCTCCATGTCCTGCACTCAATAGTTTCTGAAATCTTTCGCTTTAGTATTGTTTCTGTCTGCCAACTAAGATACACGCCTCAAACGCATGCAATTCGGAATCCCTATCTGAACCTAATTGTCTTTAATTAACGAGTGGGTGGAAGATGACGTATCTCCCCCCCCCACCCTTGTGAGTTCATCGTTTTGGAGAAATAGCCCCCACTTTGTGCCCCCGTCGATGTTTTGGCAAAACCTACTTCTTAATCCTCCGCCCCCCTCCAGGTCTACAAGCGCATCTGGCCGGCGACCCAGCGGGAGTCCCTCTTCTGGTCTCACATCCGCCGCCTCAATCTGAAGGAGTTCCCCGGTCCCCGACGGAAGAACCCCAGCGACGACATAGTCCTGGACAACTGGATGGTTTGCAACTATTCCACAAAGTACGGCGAGGACCGCATTCCGCCCTCGGCCTCACCCCTCATTCGCATCGAGGTGGACGTGGAGTTGTTCTGCCAGACGGTATGGACCCCACCGAGCCAGATGCAGGAGGAGTTGGCGAACCTTGATCTCACCCAGCTCTCGGAGGCGGAGTTTGATGAGTTTGTGCGATCTCGTGTGGATCGGAGCGCTGTGCGCTGTCGCCTGCTCTACGCCTCCCAGATCAACCCCGGGGGTTGGGCACCGGCAGCAATAATTCGTACCATGGCCAAGCGCGAGTACCCCCACTTTCTGCAACGTATCAGCAGTTTTGTGATCTCGCACACGACTGACAAGCCACCGCACTTCTAGTCGAGGAGAGCGGAGCAGCTGGTCGGCATGATCTGCAGCATAATTTCCCCTCTTTCCAACCTTTTCTGTTTCTCTTGTGCCAATGATTTATGGAAATGGTGTCCTCTTTATGGGACCAATATATTCCCCATCAGACACACATATATATATATTGCTGATTAAAGCGAAAATGCGCTTTCCCGGACATAACTTAAAAGGTAAGGCGATCACAGGAACCATGGTTTTATTGGCCTGGCGTTTCGAAAGCAGACAAGCCTCCATCATCGGAGATGGGTTGCGTGCGACACATTACAGTATTTAAGAGATTTCTTTCGTGCTGACGTCTCACTGACTTTCAGCGCGCTGCATCACAAGGTTTGGCGATTGCTGTCATGGTGGCATCGGTTCCTCCTCATCCTTTGCCGGGTGTGGGAACGGGAAGGGCGTGGGGGTGACCGCGACCATTGCTCGTGTTTGCATTGTCCGTTGTCGGCCCTTCACCTATCTCGCCTTCCTGCCCCGTTCACACCTGCCCGTAACCGTGTGGACGGTGGTTCTCATGCCGATGTTGACGTCGGGCTGGGGGTCCTGCCACTGTCGTGCGTTCTCATCGAGTGCTCGCGTCTGTCTGCGTTAAGCCCCAGACGGCGGTCTCCTGGGTTTGCGTTCGCCTCAAGTTGTCCCCTGTTTTCGTCGGTTTCGGATGCCTATCTATACTCGTCCGTGCTCCCGCTTGGTCTGGGTTTGACTACTGACGTCTCTGGCTTGACGCCTCGTCGGTAGCCCTGCTTATTGAACTTTACCCGTAGGGCTTGGTAGGCAGCCGGCAAGGTTGTGCAGTGTTTGATCGAGGTAGTTGGGGCGTGCCATACTTCGAGCGTACCCCGGACCGTTTGATCGCTCCCTTGGTCCAAGACTTCGGCGTCTTGGAAAGCGAAGACATGCCAAGAGCTGCGTAATCTTTCGTCACCAGCAAGAGCGGCTCCATTTTTTGTACCGCTCTTGCGTGCTCGGTCATGCGGGTCTGCAATTTTTTCCCGGTCTATACAACGTATTTTGCTTCGCACGAACTACACGGGATCCGATAGACGACGTTGACTGTTTCGCCTTATGACAGAGGCGTCTTTGGTCTCATGACCAGAAGTCTAATTGTCGCTTCGGGGTTTGTGGGCGATGTCGATACCCAAATGTTGCAAGATACGAGCAACTGCCTCGGAAACGTTCAAAATATAGGAAGCGCTCGCCAGACTTTCGACTGATTTGTCGTTTACTTTATGGTTGGTCTGGACGGTTTGCTGCGTTCCATAATGCTGCGGGGGTAACCGCTGAAGGTGAACATCCGCCGTAGATGGTGGAGTTCGGCTACCTTGTCGGCCGGTTCGGTGCAGTGGGTGTCAACTCGCCTGTAGAGAGATCGAACACAGTGGGTGATTGCTGGGGTAGGACAGGACTTGCCGAGTGTTAGTGACCTTCCTGCAGACCATCGTTTTCAGGCTTCCGTTGACTTTGCGATGAACCAGGACGTCTAGGAACGCGATCTGATTGTTGTTCTCTGACTCCATGGTGAATTGAATGTCGGGAAGAACAGAGTTCAGTTTCGCGTGGAATTTCGCAATCATTTCCCGTTTGAGAACGACGAAAGTGTCTTCCACATACCGCCCCCAAAATTTTGGCTTGTATGTTGTGAAAACCAACGCCTACAATATTTGAAGAACAGCTTCAATGATGAAACCCGATAGCGGTGAGTCCATTGGCATACCTTTGGTTTGCCCGTACACAGCCCCTTCAAAAGATAAAGAACGTTTGGAGGCAATATTTGAGCAGTTGAACTAGGTGCCCCCCGCTTAGGGGCATTGTTTGCCTCCGTGTATTGGTTGTCGAGAAGGTCGCTGACAGTTTCATTTGCCAAAACCTTTGGGATCGAGGCGAAAAGTGAGGTTACACCGAACGACACCATAACCTCGTCTGTGTCAATTTGCAGCCCTTTCAGTCGTTTTATGAAATGGACGGATGAGCGGACCGTCGAATCGGAGACCGAGACGAGGCAGTTCAGACGTCGGAACATCCGTTTGGCCAGGTTAAATGCGGATGTCCCGCGCAAAGACATAATGGGAGGAAGCATGGCACAATCTTTGTGAAAGGGCCCCCCAGCCCGACGTCAACACCGGTATGACAACCACCGTCCACATGGTTACGAGCAGGTGTGAACGGGGCAGGAAGGCGAGGTACGTGAAGGGCGGACAACGGACAATGCAAACACGAGCAATGGTCGCGGTCACCCCCACGCCGTCCGCCTTCCCACACCCGGCAAAGGATGAGGAGGAACCGATGCCACCATGACAACAATCGCCAAACCTTGTGATGCAGCGCGCTGAAAGTCAGTGAGACGCCAGCACGAAGGAAATCCCTTAAATACTGTGATGTGTCGCACGCAACCCACCTCCGATGATGAAGGCTTGTCTGCTTTCGAAACGTCAGGCCAATAAAACCATGGTTCCTGTGATCGCCTTACCTTCTCGCATATATATATATATATGCCTTTCTTAAAAATCGTTATTTACCAGCAGCTTGCCACCACGCTCTTTTGACTGCAGGTCGTCCTTTTGTGACTGAATGTTTTTTTTTCGTTTTTTTGGACTGGGTTCTGAGTTCTTAAGGATTTTTCGTAAATCTGGGCGTCGGCTGAGAGTGCCAGTGCGCACTCATTGGTTGGATGACAGATAATGGATGTTCCCTTTCCTGATTCATCAATATTTTGTTTTCCCTTTTTGGGGGAGGCATCCCGGCAACGGTGCCAAAGCGTGTTCGAATCATCACCTTTGATACGATAGTCGTATGCTTACTGAGGCAACTTAAGCCAATAGGCAGACCTTAGCTGCTACGGCCTTCGAGCCCAATCCTGAATAAAAGGGAAGCAGTAGAGGCCTAAGTGACAATGGGACATGTGCTGCATCGCCTTGCGCATGATCATGTCTGATTCAGCCTTGAAATTGCTTGAACGGTTTGCATCGCTGTGATTGGTCGAGGACCAGACTGTGTGCAAGTACGTGCAAGAGGCGCAGCGTTTAAACAGGTGCCCCGAGTGAGACCACTGCACCTTTCATGCGAGGATTAATGCCAGGTGAACGGAGCTAGAACAAAATGTGCTGTCCCTCTTTTATATGCATAGTCCAGCCTTCTCCACCCCTCCCAGGTCTTTGCAGCATCCGACGTGTCGTTGTGGTTATCGATACATCTTGCGCCTGCATCGATTACAGGACAACGGACCCCTGGCGCAATGGTAGTGTAAAACTCTGTGACCAAAGATCCCGACTTCGAATCTCAAGTAATCGACACTCGGGGTTGGGTATGGCCGGCTGATGACGGCTGATAAGCCAGAAATGGCCATTCCAGTCTCCCTTACCTTTGTCGGTACCATCCCGCCTTTGTTACTGTTTGATCCACTTGTCGGAACATGGACTCTGAAAGTGCCTACTCCTTTGAGTTGCATTTTCCTTACAGGTAGGTTATTCGGAGTGGGTTCATTTTGAAAATGCATTGGCTCTTGTGAGACTGACTTTAAAAAAAACCGAAAAATTCGGCAAAAGGAATCTCTCAGGACGGCGGATAGGAAAGCAGCCTTTAGTTAAGGCTACCTTGAAGAGGGAAAAGCGCATAAGACCGGAAAAATTAGTGACGACAATGTCAGCCGAGGGTCTAGGATTCACTCATACCGACCGCCCTATTAAATTTTATGGCAAACGTAAACCATAGCACGTATCTGTCTTGAAGGTAGACTCGAGGAGAAAACTGAATTCGTGATAACATTTACAGGGCATGACCGATCTCATGAAATGTTGGCCGAAATTCTGAAATGCCTTTTCGATTAGGAATGATTACTTAGAGGGGGTTGTAAAATTGATTAGCATGCAGCACAATCCTATAGCATTTCGGACTCGCCAGGATGTCGGCTTTTAAATGCACTTTTTTCTGACCCCCTGCAGAAGCCGCACTCGGTAAAAAATGACTACCTAAGTGGCATGCTTTTTCCCTCTTGATTTTCGATGGTCTTATAAATTCAAATAGATTTTGCATAAAATATGCCCAAAATATGCTTTCTTTTGCTTATTGGGTAGGAAATCACATTGTCTTCATATTTTATGTCCGAAAAATTGTGTTGTAGGTTTTAAAGAAGTTTCCCAATAACAGAATAATTTTCCGCCTCATCTGCCATTGCATCAGCGCTTAGCAGTTTCAGTCTACAAGGTGCATGCTTTCCGCGTAAAGAAAATCATATATTCCTCTACGCCTTTCAGAAGATACCACATAGAGCTCATGAAATTTTGCAATGGATCCGGACTAGGTGGTACATTTTATGAGGAGCATTGGTAAACGGACATGTACGGTCCTGTATGTATGGACATCGCACGGTCTTAAAAATCCCATGATTAGAAACTTTTTTAAAACCTAAATACACACTTTCTTCGGACATAAAATAAGAAGACAATGTTATTTTCTACCGAAGGAGTAAAAGAAAGCATATTTTGTGCATGTTTTCTATAAAATATATTTGAATTTATAAGACCATCGATGTCTAGACACCTGAGAAGAGAGTGGGCCTAGAGCGCAACGATGTCGAGTTTGTCTCTCTATACATGATGCAGGAGTACCATAACTGGAGTATGGAGGCATGATAATATCCGGAGCAACCGAAACAGTGAGCTTGTAACGTCTACGTAACGAGAGTAATCAGAGCTTTGTGGTATCACTGATTTTTATCCTCCTCCACATTGTCATCAATTAGAGGCGGACACCATGTCTACCACTTAATTACAGTAGTAAATGAATGCAATGACCCTTTTCAGGCATTGTTTGTGTGGAAATAAAGCGCTAGGCAACTTTGGCTGTAATTCTGTCAACGTGTGGCGAGAGATCAAGATTATCGGTGTAGCTTAAATCTAACTCCTTGATGGTGGTACGTTAAGTCATAGGTGGGCCTTGGAAAACCACTGGATGGGGGAACCTATCAGGTCAAAAACACATACAGCGACACTTAGACGGAGAGACTTCCATTAAACCATTTTGAGCTCCAAGCTGAGAGAGCAAGCAAGTCGGCATGGATTTGCTTCAGGCAATGAAGGCTCGTAGAGTTATTGAAATAATATACGCATTTGATATCATCGGAATAAATAAATGATTTAGAATGTTTAACTGACGTCGCGATATCATTTATCTAAAGCACGAACAAAAGAGGACCTAAAACGGTGCCTTGTGGAACACCGCTGCAAATTGAAGATCCCACTAAATCTGTTTATTTACGACTAGACAGGTACGACTTGATAAAGTCTATTAGTGGACTGCGAATTCCCATAGCCTTTAATTTAACCAAGAGTCTTTTGTGTGGCACTTTTTTAAAGGCTTTACTAAGAGCAAAGTAAATAACGACAACATATAAGTTATCATGAAGTGATGAATTGGAACGCGAACCGCCTGAGTTCCAGTGAAACTTCCGTCCATTTAGTTTGACTTCCTCGTCAATTTGGGTAGAATTTGCATTTGAAGCTACTACTAATGATTTCGGTGCGTTAGACACGAAGTTTACATGCGAAGCAGTATAACGCAGTAGCTACGAGGTGATTGTCTGTCTTAGACTCCGTTGACGCCGCGTGTTTTGTAACAGAGTCGAGTGCACTTCTTGGCTATGATGGTTTTCGTATGTGAATCTGGACGTCAAATGATCGCACTGCACTTTCGACAGTTAACACGAGTAATCTTTCAGTTCGTGTACGAGACGCTACCGTCTATCTATTGCCATTAGAACTAACTTTGGAGATGCAGGAGAATACAAAATCTGATATGTCGTACATAAACCTCACTATACCTTCGAAACCGTCAACTAATAGGGGTGTCGTACCCTGTTTGTCCCCACTTTATAACCCTTGGTGATTCGTGTCTCCTTGAATGATACTCGGAAAATGCCTACTGCGGTCACTATGTCGAAATAAACTGGGATGGAATGAACAACCACCTGAAATCTACCGGCCTCGTTGGGAAAACTGGGTTTCTAGCCTACGGAGGATGTTAAATATAATGTCACAATGATGCCTGAAGCCCAAGGATAGTGATAGTGTTACGAATACCGGGTGGCATTTGCTTCCAGCTGCGTCAAAGTCAACATATAACGTGATTGCATACGCTCGTTTTGCCGAAGATAAAAGGAAGTTGCATTGTCCACTTATCTGTTCTAAAGAATGAGTGACATCCCTCAAAACCGTACCAATACCACGCTTGGATTGGACAGCAGAAACGTGATGATTCAGATTGCTAACTTTATTCGGTTTAGTATCGGTAAATCTCTTTCATAAAGCATTATTTTGTGCAGATAGCAGGACAGTAGTAGTAGTTTAGATTTGTAGATTTTGTACTTTTATGGGCAGGGGCATGGTCTATGGCCGAAGTTACCCCCTCCGGTGACCATTTGTGTCGAGCAAACGAGCTGAGCATCTAAGAAGTTTTTGATATCACAAATTTTGATCCTTCGTATTGTCATCAATAAAGAGGAGACACAATCTTTGTCATTTAATAATAATAGAAGTTGAACTTAATGCCCCTTTGCAGGCATTATCAAAAAGGGTCTTGCATTGTCGTAGTTTTACTCCAGCGACTATCTTGAGGCATATTGACCATCCTCACTCAACAGTCATCTCGAGGTATCTGTACCTCTTCCTCTGGTACTTACAAATAAATATCGCCAGTTACTTTCTTTTAGCACAACTGCCCCCCCCCCCCCCGAGTTAGTAATCCCCGTCGTAAACTATACCCTTGCTCCAATTCCCTGAAAGGCGAGTCAATGAGATAAATTTAAATGGTTGCTAACTGAATACAGAAAGGACGAGTTGACAGTCAAAAGTTTAAGAAACATAGGGGTAACACTATCGAATGCCGAAGCAGGTGGATGTTTTTGGGGAAGCGGCATCGCAATATCTAACTTTGTGTCCAGGCTTGGCTAGCATCGTCAGCTTGGCATTGGAAAAAATTTTGGCAGACACGGTAATCTTTAGACCTACATCGGGGCTCTGTTGTTAGAAAAGAGGAATTCTGATAGTTAATTAGACTAACAGTAGCATCCTCATGCGGTTGGAAGGAAACAGGGTCTTCATAAGCTCGCTCAGGTAAAGTCCCCACTGAAAGGATCAATGTACTCAAAAGACAATGGGCCAATTCGTCTGGTAGGAAGTCGAAGAATGGCTCAGGAGACATTTTAGCATATGAGTGCCAGAAACTACGTTGCTTTTCGAACTTTTTTTTTAACAAGCTGGCCTTGCAGATGACAACAATAACATCCATAAAGTTATCAGAGTATGAGAATCGAGGCCCACAGTTCTAGCGTGCACTAGTTCTGATTAACGAAAATGGTGACTCCTTCAACTCTGTCACCTCTTCAGAATTCCTTGCCTTTTCGAAAGCAACAAAAGGATTAAGGCATAATTAAATGCAAATCAACACTGGTATCCAAACATAGCATATGAGGACAAGGGACTTAGGTTTGTCTGTGTTCTTCAGAAGGCAGTTTGTATCCTGAATTTGAGGCGGCTACTCTCCCAGCCCTAGTGTTCGCAGCGAGGTGATTGATGATTTGTTGGCGACTGGTGCACCCCTGGTGGGTTATGGCCGACGCATCACGTAGCGTGGTTTTTGCTCGCGAG